AGGCTCCCTCTCCTGTGAAGTGCTTGGAGGTCTATGTGTTCCAACATGATAGAAATAGCAAACAGTGCTAAGCAATAAACTATTTTTTCTGCCTATTGGAGTGGATGGCACTGGGAAAAGATGCTGGGTTCTTGGGCAGAGCTGGTCCCAACCTCCCTTACACCAGTACAGTTGCATTTGTGTTCACTGGCATCCATCTCTGCTGTTTAGCTCACTTCTCTCAGCTGTAAGAGTCTCAAAGGAAAGAGGACAGCTTGAGCTCGAGCTGGGAGCTATTATGTTGCTTAACAATTTCACCTCCCTCTGATTCTTTCTTGTCAATGAGGGACCAGGACATTAACTCTCAATAAATTAAGTCATTATATTGGGTTTTAATCTCTCTGCAATATTTCATTGTTGACTTTTCTAACAGAATCAAGATGCTTGGCAGCTTTTTTCTTCTTGCTCAACCCTGGTATTTGACCCTTAGAGGCACAGTTTGGTTTCTCCCAGCATCTTGGATGCCAGTAAAGAGCTCTGCTCACCTTCCTTCTCTGCCATCTGCCATCCTGGCATTTCCTGCCTTCAGAACAGCTGACCAAATTTCACATGGATCAAGTCACACCGCATTAAGGTAAGAGCCTTGGTCTCCAGGGGCACTGTGACTTGGACTGAACTGGGATAGCACAGTAGGCATAAGGCAGCAGATTCCTGCCAACAAACCTGATGCCAGTGCAGACAGCATGGATACCCCCTAGTCAGGACCTGCAGAACAAGGCAAAGCAGCTGAGAGCTGGGTGGCTTTGCTTTGCCAAACATGTTCAGCAAACACCGCTGGCTGCCCAGCTGTAGGGAAGTGACTCCAAGCTTACTTACTACAGGCATCCTATCAAAGCTGATATGTGTCTGCCTGGCTGGAGAGGAACCATCAGCCAGTGGCAGAGATAGGGCAAATATGTGCCAATGGATGTGAGGCTGGAAAATGTGTCAGGCTGAACCCTACAAACACCTCTCTGTGTCAGGTGAGACGAGTTGTAGGGATGGGAGTTTGATGGGAGTCAAGGGAGTTTGATGGGATTTGATGGGAGTCAAGGGAGGGAGAGAGGTTTCTTCAATGGACTGTTCAGAGACATGTTATGATCCATGTTATTGGATGCCCAGGGTAGGACTATGAGGATACAGGTAACTGAGAGACAGGCTTGGGAGGAGATGATGTAATTACAGGTAACATCAAGAAGATAAGTCAGGGAAGTAAGCAAGTTTGGAATAGAGCTAAGGAGTAGGAAGGTCGCTCTGGAGCAGTTTGGCCATGACACTGGGCCTTAACACTTATGTACTGCTACAGCTTTTAGCCAGACATGCTAAAGAAGAGCAGAGGCCTTGAGAAACTAGTCCCAGCTCCAGCCATGCACCCTCTAGTGAGGCTTTAGCTTCACATAGGTTTTGGCTGGAACTGTGTTTAAAGAGCATTGCAGAGTGGATTCCTTTTGCTTAAGCAGAGATGAAGGAGGTAGGTGATGAAAGGGTTTCATGCGATGAAGATCACACCCCACTATATGTGTTTATGGCTGTTCTTGGCACAAAACTTTTGAGGAAGCAGCGGGGGGGAAGAGAGAATAGGAACAAGGTGGCAATGAGAAGAGCAGCTTGCTCTCAGAAAGGTGACCAGGTAAAGGGAGGCTGCACAAGCACAGACAAACTTCAGATGTGAGTCAGCAAATACATTTTGCACAAGAGCTGTTTGTGCATAATCTTCACTGTGATGTGGCTGTTGGGATCCTGTGCTGTAAAAAATGTGGCTGCTACACAGGATCCAATGCCTGGGAAGTATGACCATGTTAAACTCTGCTCTTTTGGAAGAAGCTACAGTTGGGAAGGCAGAGAATGGGCAAGGGACAAGGACAGCAAAAGGCAGATACAGTGCTGGTCTGGGGCAAAGAGGAGTCACCTCAATAGCATCCCAGTGTATTGGGGACTGCTCTCAGCATTCACATCTCTGTGTTTTCTCACCCTGAGTTGACACACACATCCCTTTTCCCCATTGTGTGCTGCCTTGCTTCCCACTGCACACATTCACACTCCTCTCCAGCATTTTCTTATGGCTCCTTAGCTAAGCTGGTACGTGATGTTTAGATGTGCAGTGTCATGGTGCATCTGGACCAGTGGAGCTGCTTAAATGGCTTATGTGAAAGGAGTACTTGTGGACCCTTGTTCTGCTTTTTAACATGTCAATTATGGTCTGTGTCTTCAGGATCATTTTGTTTAAGGGATGGTATCTATCCTTCAAGGTTACTATGTACGATGTTGATTTTTCTCTTTGCTTAGCACCATGGCTATTTTGGAAAACATTTTAGATATCACATTCTCTATCTATGGTGCAAAGGGCACTTGCATGAGCGTTTTGGATTGAAACTTGATGACTTGATGAGGGAAGAAAAAGTGAGGTATTGCAATGACTAAATCTTTGACTGGCACCAGTTGAATGTGACAGAGCTGGTGGTGAAAGCACAGGCGGGTGTCTTTGGCAGACCTAAATGGAGCAGAGTAAAAGGCTACAACTTCTTAGGTGTGCTTAGATGAGTGTTTTTGGATCTCAGCTATGAGGACAGTTCTCTCTTCTGAAAGGTTGTAACAAACAGCAGGAACTGCTATCTTCTTCCACTATGTTGGCTTGATCTGTAAAAAGATGCTAGCGTGGCAGTAAAGAGGAACTGTTTGCAGATGTACCATCAGACTGAATTTGTGGTCACTTGGCTTCTGTGTTATGACACCATTCAGAATCTCTGACCCTGGGCACCATATGAGGGAATGGGTTGTTCACGCAGGCAGTTTGCAGTCTACCACTCAAGACATTGTGATAGAGGTAGGAACTGTGCTCTCATCCTGTTTAACAGAAGGAAGCGTGGTTTTCAGTTGTCGCAAGGAGCATCACCCTTCCAAACTACTCTCAGGAAGCAATGGATCACTGTTGGGAAAGGTACTTGGTTAGCTTCTGGGTTATCTGCTGTAAACTTATGAAAAGAGCTATGCATTCCCTCAGTACCTCTCACTTGAAAAGTATCTGAAATTACTGACTTGAAATATGAGGTTGTAATATGTTTATAGGTGGAATCTAGGCACAGGAAGAAGGCAAGGAGCACAGCATGCTAGCATGGATTACAGCCCCCAAAATTCCAGTCACACAATCTATGTGATCTCATGGAGCAAGCCATGTCCCTTTGCCAAGGAGTGCAGAAGCTGCTTAGCTAGAGATATGAGTGACTCAGTAAAAGCATCCTTAGCTTTTCCTGTGTAAGCCAAGATGCTTTCTCGTAATGATAACCAGAGCAGGAGGCAGCATCTCTTGGCAAACAAAGTGACATTAAAAGCATTTGCTGGAAATGCTTTCAAGTTTGTTCCTGAAAAACATTCCAAGTGTGTTGATAGAGTAGCAGTTGTGCAGCAGGGGCCCAGCTCCTGTAATTTGAAGTTTGGGAGGGGAAGGGTCATAGGCGTGATGAAGACCCTCTAGTGGGATGTAGGAGTTTCCTCTTCTGGGAAGCTTCTTATATTAATCCCACTAATCACTTGATGCCATCTGCCATAATCCAAAGAGAGAAAATATGCTCTTCCAAAACATGTTTAGAAGCTACTGGGATATGTCATCTCTGGTGTGGGGATGATTCACCAACGTTGGAGAAGAAGACCACTGGGGAAATCATCCTTAGTATGCAGATGTATCCGGGAATAGAGCCCAGCAATGTTCTTCTGAGCACACTGCTGCTCGGTACCTGTGGGATAAAGGCAGCAGCAAGGCTGATGCAGGCCATGTCGGTGGAATCACTGTCCCTGGAAGTATTCAAAAGCCATATAGACAAGGCCCTCAGTGACATGCATCAGTGGTGGCCTTGGCAGTGTTGGGGAATGGTTGGACTTGATGATCTTAAAGGTCATTTCCAATCTGGTTGATTCTATGATTCTGTATGGTTCTTTTCCTCGGTAAAAGTGTGTTGTGTAAAGAAGCACAAATGCTTTGCAGCTTTCCTGGCTTCGGGCTCTGTGGCTCCATCACAGTCAACCCATGGGACTGCTTTGGAGGTTGTGCCTGGCAGCAAGATATCATGCTGAATATATGTGGGCTCCTCTAGTCCCACATGTGGTGGGAATCATGGTTCCACTGTGCCTGAGACTATATTCACAGCTTGCAGTGTGGAAACTAGGCAAGGCTAATCCCAAGGCTGTCCTGTAAGGCATCAGTGGCTGAAGGTGCAGAGCCAGGATGTACACTTCTGGATAGGAACCATTGACTCCAAGGCCTAAGTTTCTACCTGAATGAAACAGGCACTTTACAGAAGCTGGTCTGAGATTAACTGAACTTCTACAGGAGCTAAGGTTTGTCTGTCACCCCACTGTCCTTTCCTCAAAGTCAAGGGTTCCTCCTCACAAAAGAAGTGCAATAGACCTTAAGATACAAGCCTCAAACCTTGTTGAAACAGAAGTAGGAAAGAGAAAGAGAATAAAGCCGAAGTGAATCCTAGTATTTCACCTAATTCTTGGAAAGATATCAGCTGTGATGATACTTAGAGCAACTCTAAAATTCAGTATGAGAGTCAATGAAACTAACTGCCCACTGTCTGTCACCCAAAACTGATTATATCCATGGAGTCTTACAGGAATGTATAAAATCAGAAACACTTCCTTGGCCTGCAGATAACTTTCAGAACCTCAAGCTCAGAGGCTTGCATACAGATGGGACTCCATGCTAACCATTTGTGCATCAGGGCCCTGAGTGAATAAACCTGTGTGGCTTAATGGTCTTGACCAGCCTCACCTGGACCATCCACTGATGCACCCTCCACCACTGGTCCAGGAACTGTTTTTAGGCTCCAACCCAGAATTTTAGCCCTAGTTTGACTTCTGTTGCAGATGACCTTATTTCTAGGTGCCTCAACTAGAAATCACTCCCTGCATGAATTCAGGACCTGGCTCATTTCATTGCTGTTCATGACTGGACTGACCCTGTTTGAATACCATGGAGCCTCTGGTTGGAGAGGAGACTTTGGGTATCTTTAGCTGCTGGTTCATCATCCCTTGTGGAGTAGCTGTGCTTTTGTCGTCTCCTGATGTCTGGTAAGTGACCTCAGCCTGAAGGAAAAAGGGTGGGGAATGTGGAGTGTTTTGATTGCTTTCTTAGCAGCTGCTGACCCAAAGAAGTTATGTGTGCATTACTGCTTCTGTTATGGAAATCAAGGGATTCAGAGTAAGTGATGCCTAAAAGAAAATGAGACAGATTTCAGTTTTTCCCATGTAGAAAAAAACTGCTAGGCTTTTTTCTTTATTCACTTGTTTCTATGGTCTATGGCACCAGTGCCTTAAACAAGTGTCTCTTACAAATCATAAGCTACAATATGACCTCTTAATGAAAGAAGTTGAAATGAAGCATATATGTGAGCATTAAAATGAGCAGGAAATCTACATTGCCCAATATTAATACTGCATTCCTTTGTAAGAAGGAAATATAGACCCATTTTTATAGGGCCACCAACCTGTGGAACCCACTGCCACTTGATAACTTTGGGATCAGAAGCTCATCAGAATTCAGAAGGGGAAGGGATGTTGAAATAGCTGGTGAGAGCACACACACATTAGGTTAAAATGCAGAAGGGATGGAAACCTTCATGCTTGAGAGTATTCACTCACTAATAACTGATGGCATTAAGAAGGAAACTTCCCTTCTTTGCTGGTTGTTAATTGCATGATTGAACACGTTCTTCTCATGCTGGTCATAGTGGGCAGTCAGGACCCTACACTGCATGGCCTGCAGATGTGATCTGGTCTCTCATTTTGCTTAGTTGTTCGTTTTATGAGACACCCAGAAACTAATGACAGAGGTTGCATTGACAATATATGAAGCAGCAGCAGCTTAGTAGGAGGTGGAATGATTTGTACAGTGATATGTTGACAGATGTGTGAATTGTACCCGATCATTATATATGAAGCTGTGCAGTGAAGAAATGAGGGGCATGCACTTCTGGTCTTCCTTGCTGTGGAACTCTCACTGCTGCTGATTTTCCACCTCTACTGTTAACAGTAAAACTCAGCAACCTGTACAGTGCCATGAAACCTGTCTCCAGGTCCTCATGTAAGCTAGCAACTTGGTTTTGCTGGCTTTTTGGGGTTGTTGTAGGTGAAGGGTGATGCTGTAGAAGGGAATGGGAGCCTGTAGCTCTGAAGCTAGACAGTGCTCAGGACTGTGTAGAGAAGGTGCTGTATGAAACCAAAGATGATAAACAGACTGAGAACTCAAGGAACAAGTATTCAGTGACTGTCAGAGCCAGGACAAGAAACAGAGTTCTTGATCCCTTTGCATGTGTCCCAGCCATTTGCCAAAGTGACTTGGACTTGTATGAGACCTTTGCACTATAGACCTAGACAAGTGAAAATGAAAGGACCTGGAGGATTATCTCTGTGGAGACAAAGGAATAAGTATCCTTGCATCTTTCCTTTCTAGGTTGAAAGAATGGTAGCGAAATATATGTCTAGCAAGTCCTAAAAGGAATATTGCAATAACTTTTCAGCTCTTGTCTTGTGCTGCAGCAACAGGCTGTCCCCATAATGCCCCATCTTGTCTTTATTTGTATTGTACTCACATTCCCCAGCCATGTCTCAAATGGGATACAAAGAAGGAAAGTAGAACTTGCCCTGAAAGTGTCACCCCTAATTAATATCCTCCAAGGCAGCTCCATAATTAGTATGCAGATCTGGTTTCAGTGCAGCCTGTTAATGGGCTCACTCCTCAGAGAATGATAATTAGGTATGACACTGATATACTATGGTGTTACAGGAACCTTCCACAAGGCTAAATCCACTGGATAGGTAAGTGGCAGCCACCATACCAGGAGAACAGGTCCTGCTTGGGCAAACCCATTTTTGGCTGAGAACAGATTGAAACAAGAAGGGGCAGTCTGACATGGTGGAAGAAAGAAGCCCAAGGTTTTAGCAAAGGTCTGATTGCCAAACAGGGCGTGCAAAAGAACCTGCCTAGCTCATGTCTTGTATTCTCCACACCTGTGTCTGCTGATGCCCATCATTCATGTGCTACAGCGCCTCTTCCTCACAGAAGTGTTCTGAAGTTGCTCTGCCCAGCTCTGGAAAAGCATATCAATTCTATCCTCTAGTATCCTACAATATCCTGTTCCTTGTCCTTTCATGACCAGAAAGTGTATATGTTTGTTTGATAGCTTTGTGACAGTGGTGGTAAGGGACAGAATCATTCTGCAGCAGCAAATTCTGTTGTCTAGGGAAACTTTCCACACTGGCCTCTTCTGCTTGGGCATCACTTGAAATGTTAGAGATTTTAGGAAATATGGGAGGGAAAGGGAGGAGGAGATCCAGCAAAAATCCTCCAAGGCCTCTGACAGTGTTAGGTGCATGGGCAAGAGGAGTCAAACTGAAAGAGAAACCTCTGTTTTTCCCAAGAGGTCAGACCCAAATATTGGTTTCCAATATGCTGAGCCACCAAGAGTGTGAGATAAGTCTCTATGAATCAGTGAGTCAGCGCTGACTTGAACATATCTTTTTGCTTGGGCACCTCTTCAGCTTCCTGTAGTTGTTACTATGTGCAGTTTCTGTATTGGTAATGTCGAGCAGGCTGCCAGAATCCTGTCCTGTAGAAGTCTATGATGACCATGACCTCAGGTGTACCTCTATATTTACTATGATAGGGTGCCTATGAGTGTATAGGCACCCTTACCTTCTCTATGTACTCTTATAACCCTCTTTTTCTCTGCCTCATAGAAAGGGTGCAGTAGGGAGAAGGCTTTCCATTTATCTGGATGTCCAGAGCAACCATCTTTGGCCTAGAGAACTCCTTGGTGCAAGCTGTCACTAAGTTTTCATAGACAAGATACAGCTTTTCTGCATGAAGTGATGGTGATTCACCACGGCAGCTGATGACAATATGGCTCTTATGGCTAACGTGTAGCGAGCAGGCCACAGGCCTCCATCTGATAACAACCTATATTTTTCTTCCCCAGTACCTTTTTCCACACAGCCATGAACTAAGCATGGATTTTTAACCCCACATTAGTCAAACCTTTACAAGCAGCAAATGAGAGGAGCTTCTGGAAGCTGAAAATCTTCTAGGTAGAAATAATCCATTGTTGCAAGCCTAAGGCTTAAGTGTTTGTGTAGTGGAGTTTTAGAAAGCAGTCAATGAAAGGTCTGAGCCCAGGAAAGTTAGGAATTGAAAAGGAGCTGCATTAAGGAGTTAGCTTTACAAAGCGCATATTCCCTTTAAAGCTGAGTTAAGTCAAGGCTAAACAATGTGGAGCTGAGTAGGTGAAGCTTCTGTACCTCTAGGGATATTCAGTATTTCTTAGCAGTAAGAGTCACTCCTTTAATTAAGGGTACCTGGAAGTTAGGGGGCTGGTTTGCTTGAGTTAGAATTCCCTGTCTCCTGAATGATACACAGTAGAACTCTGATGGATCCTTTTTTCTGGTCTTTGAGTTTTACTCCATAAATACCAGGACTGTTGAAGTTGAGCTCCCCCAGACTTGCTGAAGGATTCAGTGTTGGACCAATTAAGAGGTCCCCTTCTGCATTCCAATCTTAGCAAAAGTTTCCTACCCCTCTCACTAAACAAGGCATTAGAGTGAGTCTCCAAAGTGCTAGGATGTTCAACTCTTCCACAGTAAGTGAGATAGATTTGTGTTTGAGGCCTCAATCAACTGGCTTAATTTTAACATCCCAAGCTCATTACCACACCTGATGCTTAGTGAAGCATTGGGCATAACCAGAGCAGTAGCTCCGTATCATCTGAATCCTATTCTTGTCAATATGCCTTGGAGTAAATGAGCGCAGAGCAGTTAAGACTCCAGACTCTCACTGGCACCCCTGAAATAAGTAACACTGAGACAGATGCTTGGCCTAAGCACACAGCATTTGCTTTTCTCTGGGGAATGGGTAGTCATCACAGCAGTCTTCAAGCTGGGTGCTTTGTAGCTATGAGCGCTTGAGGTCTTGCTTAACCTGGATGGGACAGGGTCAGATATCTGTGTGTTTTCCCTCCTATCTTCTGGCTGTATCCTTGAATTGTGCCAGCTCTAAAACCTTTTCCCATGTCTCTTGTACAGATCACTGGAGGAATCTGAAATGCTAGCCTGACCTTTTGTCCCCTTAACACATTGTCCCAAGACAATTTGGTGGAAGAGACATTTCGGTTGCCCTCGGATATTTCATAACTTTAAATATTTTATAACAAATTAAATGTTAATTGTGTGCTGTCCAGGGGAGAAAATCATTGTAGTATTCAATTAACATTTAATATATTAGCCATCAAATATTTAAGTAGCTGCTAACCAATGGATGTATTTCTTCTGCATTATCTGTGTGGACCCTCTGACTTGTCTTTCCATAGAACTTTTCACTAAGATGCTACAGCAGAACAACTTTGAAAGGGTAGGAAAAAAAGATCATATTTCTGCCCATGTTTTCTTGCTTTTGAAGTTTTGCAGCACAATATAGAAGCTCTGGATACTAACATAGGTGGAAATCAACAAGCTGATATCTGCTGCAGTATTGCTTTGCTGTTCTGCTAGCTCACCCTGACTGTACCATTACACCTTTGGGAAGGTACTGAGAGATTTCTTCATTATGCAGTTGCCTCCTTAAGTCTCTTCAGTGCCTCTTCATTGTACTGTGCATAAAAATCAGCTTCAGTTCTCAGGGCCCCACATCTCATGGCTCCTGCTTGTAAAAGCAAACCACATCAGAAAAAACATCTCCCCTCGATCTGTCCTCAGTGATCACTTCTTTCAACTTTCTCCCTAACTGATAGGTTCGTCTTCTTTCCTATCACCCTTGTGTGCTTTTAATACTTTCCTACAAGGTCTGTTCATCAAGCTGCTCTTTTATTCTAGAACTAGCAGACCTTCTCCCTGTCCCCTTGAAGAAATTAAAAAGTAGGTCTGTTACAATAACAAATGTGTCTGTGGGGAAGAGATAGTAAAATCGCTGTTTGCAAAGCTTACATCTAAGAGGTTGCATGTTAGCTAATGGCAGGGTGAAGCCAGCTCTATGTAGTGATGTGTAAGAACGGCATACGTTAATCCTGTGAAGTCAGGCATGA